AGATCTGGAGGAGTCCCGAGCTGGAAATGGGGGGATTGAACTCTCCAAATATACTGGCGATCAAAAATATAATTTACTTCTATAGGGAAAATCTGGGAAAGAATCATGCGTCATTTTATTTTTTTAATTAGAACAAATTATAATATGATAATCCATTGGGGTTTTGAATGTTTTTGGGTGTTTCCCCCCAAAAACCAAGGAAAACACACATTATGCTTGACTTGTTACCCTCCTGTAATTTAACATAGCCATGGTACAGATGGCCCATTCATAGATGTTTTACCCATTATTGAATATACATCATGATTGTTCATCGCTATGTTATGTTCCCGGAGAGCATATGTAAATATAGTTAAACGGATATATTCATCCATCTCGATGGATAGTATATCCCACTGATACCCGCTGCTTCGAAATGAAACCTATATGGAAATAGCTCTGGGTATTTGATCTTGAGGTACATACTATGGTATATACTTATTTTACCAAAAAAAAAATTAAAAACAAAAACAAACAAAGGGAGCACAAAAAGAACACTTTTGAATAATTTGAACTGCTTATGTGGTCTCCATCTCTGCTTGCAAGTAACTTTTCTTGGGGAATATTATATATATATACATTCATTCATTGGGGAATGCATGCTCTCAGACCCTCTGGTCCTGTTTCGGATGCTGCGGCGAGTGTGGTTAGCCATGGTTCACAAAGCAAAGGACTTGCAAACGACAGGGGCTGAACGGCTGAACCCATGGCACCCTCAATTGCTCTCAAGGCTCTGGATCTGGGTCTCTACTCAAAAGCGACTGACTGCAAGTTACCAACTGGCCAAATCACTCACCGCATGGAACTATAACATGGCCGGTCACTGTTTTGACATGAGGGGGCTCTATTGCTGTACAGTGCTTGGGGCACATCTACTACATCTGGTGGGCCGTAGGATACCGTAGGATAAATTATCATTGTTCGAGCGGGGCTTTATCATGCCTTTATGGCTGTATCATGCTCTGTCGCGTTAATTGTGTTTTGAGCTCATGACATCCCGTTTCGAGCAGTCCTTATTGCACAGTGGCCCAAACAGATTGGCAGCAGAAAAGTAAATAGAGGCATCATGACAAGTAGAGTGCGTGCAAAGGTGGTTGGTTTCATGCACTTTGCATACATTAGTGACAAGATGTGACAAGTGCTGCCTCAGCCGCTTTACCAATATCTTAGCTGTGGCTAACATGTGTTGCTAATGTTTCAACCCAATTCTGTGATTCATCTGCCGATTTCAGTCTGAAATTCGCGCATTTCACGTTTTTGGGGTGTCATGGGCATGTAATTTTTGGGGAAAGGGGCCACTTCCTCTAATTTTCTCTAGGCTGCCAAGAAACCCCCGCACAAGCAGTGTGCACCGGAATGGGGCACTGCACCATTGCGGTCTTTTTCTGGGGCGCCAGCAAGAAATGATGCTTGAGCCACGGTAGGTTAAGCCCTGAAGGTCCCTGATATAGTGAGGCTCGCTCATCCCAAGAGTAACACTCTTGGGACTAACTCTTGAGCCATCATCCTATGCAGTAAAACATGTGCGGATAGCATCACAACTATGCCGATAGCATAGTTGATGGTGAATCTTAGATAGCCAAAGATCAAAGTAGATTCAAATAGATCTTCCGAAATGTTTGGCTCTTCGATCAGTGCGGCGAAAAGAGCGAGCTTGATTGAAATCAGCTTGACTGCAGGGCGGCGGACAAGGTGCCATGGCACGCACAGAAGATAAACCAATCAATAATGGTATAGATTCAATACATTCCATCCCCTATTTTACCTGAAATGGGTTGGGATGAGCCACCAAGAGGTAATGTTATATATATATGATATATGTATATATATATATATAATTAGTTTTCTTTTTTAAAGCATATGGTTTTATAACATATCATATGCATTCAGGAATCTGTCTTAGACGCCTTAGACCTGCTTGATTTGGTCCTCAGCACATCTGCCTCACCAAATACTGCACTGGGTAAACATGGATAAACTATCTGAAACTATCTCCAAAAATTAGATTGATACGTCAGGGTCAGGAGGTGCTGACTTGGGGCATGAACCGAGATATTCCAAGGTTGGCTATGAACGAATCAAACAAATGTATTGTGAAAATGCAGCAACTTACCCACAGCCTTGGCTTTCTCCCCTGATCAAAGGCGTTTTTTTTCCTGACGCAGCAACGGCATCAGAACGGACTTCCCTTAGCCCGGTATCCTGTATGGTACATGCTTGGTAGCCGGGCATCAGCGGGCTTGTGCTGTGGATGCGAAAAGACTCGATCCGGATGGCTCCAGATATAGAGTTTTCTGAATGGAGGCACCTCTCCAAACAATCAAACCTTATCTTTGTTGGTAGTTGAAACCCAGGAATGTGAGGCCCAAAAAATGTCTGACAAACCTTTCTTCCTTATTATTAATCATTTGGTTCTGTCCTGCTGTAGCCAGTTTTATGGGTGCCACTCGAAATTGCGTATACTCCGCAAACTTGAAGGTTTGCATTCACGTTCTCAAAAAGTCTTGTCCATGCCCAGATTTTGGTTCCATCAATCCTTGTCTTGCTTTGTGTAACCCCATTTGGCTTGGTTCAATTCCCGTTTTTGCAAGCGTACTTGGGGTGCAATTCTATGTATATATATATATATAGAGTAAGTGAGTATGTGGCAATGTTCATGGGTATTCATGGGCCTGGTATCCACGCCAATGAAAGTTGTAACCCCGGCTGTAAGCTGTAAACCCTTCCCCCTACTACAAAACACATGCCTGAGGCCCCCAGAAACTCAGGTTTGGCATTGGACCCAGTCAGCTTGCAGGCATGTTGGGGGGTAGGATTAATGTGATACACCCAATGCCATACATGATCCCACTCAACAACCATGACTGGGGGTCATACTAAACATCATCATCACCACCACCATCATCATCATCATCATCACTATTAATGACGGTTATATAATGATGGTTAATGGTGGTTAATGATGGTTAACTGTCAATTTCAGAAAAGTTCTGGGGAAAAAATGATATATGATTTATGGCATTGTTTTTTTCTAACATCAATCCCATCCCCCCAAGATCAGCCATAACCATTGAATCACAAATCCCCAAAGTTACCATACCGGCAGTGGGTGGGTTACCAAGGCAGGTTTATGGTAATTATTGGATTTGCCACAATAATAAAAAAAAAACATCTCCCCAAAGTTAGGTACTTTGGTAATAAATCCCTGCAGAAACTCATATGGCTTGGTGGCTGGTATCAATTCATTTTAGAGTAGTTCACATGTGGGGGCTGGGATCGCTCATAAACAGAACCACACCATACTTTGAGACAAACCCATGATGAGATATCCTAAATACCCAAAACCTAATGCCATCAGCACCATCCCCAAGTCATCACCATGGTCTTATGGGATTTCAACCATCTGCTGTCATGGTAGGTTCATGGCAGCCAGGGTTGCCAACATCAATAACAAGTACTATACAGTAAGTATTGCTAACACATTAATCCAACATTTAAGGATATTTTTCCCATCTAATCATCATCTAAACCATCTTATCATCAATTAAAAACCATCTCATCATCATCATCCCAATATTAATCACCATTAACCGACTGAACCCTCTTGAGGAACTTCCAATCTTGCTGATGCCGCTGCGATGCCAGCGTCCCAACAGGGTCCCAGGAGTGGGCCACTGTGGGCCTTGGAGAGCGGTGCGCTTTTTGCATGCCTGCCGACATGATAAATAAGAACTACATACACACGCATATTATATATATGCAGGTATAACTAATATTTTTTATTAAAAAAAACATCATAATAATGACAATCACGATAATCGTGATATTTAAATGACCCTGAGAACATCTAATCAATGTAAAAACCTAGATCTATTGATCGGATTTAGGTCACAATAAATCATCCACACCATCACTTGCACAAAGGAGGCAACAAGTCCGAACACACACACACACACAAAAGGGTCTGAAATTACTTCTCCGTGACAACCTCCGCCAAAGATCCATGCACAAACATCTTGAATCATGCGTTCACGAACCAGTGCGCATATATGTTTACTTACCATAAGAGCCGTAGAAACGTTTGAGTGAACATGATCACATATGTATACATACAACATGCAAATACATACATAATGCAAATCCACTACACATCTTAGTATACATGTATACATGTAGTAAGAGAAAGAATATATAAAACAGATACGGCCCCTGCCTCAGTTGCGCCACGGGGCGGGCTGTCGAAACTGCGATGCAGGTGCGACAGCAAGGATGAAAATTCGGAACGCATAGGGTTTTCACCATGGGTCTAAAGTATGAAGGCTTAACTTAGATTTGCTTAAGGGGTGCCGGGTGCCCAATAAATAAACACATATTCACTATAGATTCCCCTGATTCCGCAAATGGTGATGGTGGATTTTCCATTGGGAAAATAACAAATCACCGTAAACCTAGGCTATGAAGGTTTGCTGATTTTCCTGTGAAACGATATCATCATCCAAAAAACCTGGGATTCTTTTCATTGTTTGGGCCATGCATTCCCACTTTCTTTTGTCATATTGATGATATGCTTGGCTTGTGATGTTTACCACCTCGCACCACTTCCCTCAAATTTCTCCTGAATCAGGGGCTGGAGAAATCCAAATCTTCTGGAATGATGGGAGTAGGCGACGCTGTCACATGCTGTCACTACAGTCTGAAAACCAATTTCCGCGACTATCAGGGCTATGAGTTGCAGTTACATGGTTTAGCGACCTGAAAACAAAACAATTGAAAAACCTAAAATTAAAAGATCTCATCATAATTCACTATCCCAACAAAATCCTTGAACGCCAACCATGTGGAATTGGTTTGTATCATCTATCTTTGTCTCCTTTCAGATACTTAATTGGATTTAACCATCATAAGTGTTGATGCAGTGGAACCCATCTCCAAGTAGCAATCCTTTTTTGTCTGTCGCACCTCACAGCGAGCTGGTTGCATTTACAGTCAGCCAACTCGACGAGGGCAGGGATAGAATATCTTTCCACTGCCGCACTAAATTGTAAGACATCTGGCATAGTGGCAGAGCGCCAGTCACCACTATTTATTCATCTATCTGATGCAATGGTAACGGATTCTGCTGGTGTTTCACCAAAATTTACAAGACTCCTTCAACCTCCAAATCGAAGGGGCACTCAGAGAAGTGGCCAATCCTGGGACGAAGGCTTCGTTCTTTGTTTCAGGCATCCCTCCAAATCAAGACAAAACATGTGATGGCAATGAAAATTAGATGTGTATCATGAAGAAATGCCATTTACCAGGTGTTTCCATGCTGGGGACACTGGGGCACTTCTTTTATTCACCAGCAACCAGTGGAAAAAACAAAACGTGGACATATTATGGTCATCCATGGTCAAGATATCAGGCATGTGGTATGATCATCAGTAATGGGATGACAAACTCTTGACCAGAGGTAACCTGCTCCATTCGCAGCCTTGCAATGTTGGGAATTCCTGCGATTTTTCGAAAAAACTTCCCAACCACTTAAGTAGCCGAACTACCACTATAACATCGACCCTTGTGGTTTTCGTGCACTTGGCGACAAAGACAGGAACTTTTGAATTGAATGTACTGTAGTTTGTACAGCTGCGTGTACCCCCGCACTGCACAGTTCCATTTTCAGTCCATTCCGAAGTAGACAACTGGTCACTTTGTCAAAAAATGTGTTCCTATTTCTTGACTGTTCCGATTTGTTCCAATTACCAGTCTTCATAATCATCCCCATTACAGTATGTCATCCTGCAGACTCACACCTCCTTTAACCACAAATAACCCCCCAAATGAGACCCGAAGATCAATATGGAGGTTTCCTGGAACAGGAGTACCCCAGTCGTCACGATGTCAATACTAAAACGGTCATCCAATGATCCACTCATCTATGACGACTGGATGATTTGTGGTAGGAGACCTCATGAGACCTCCATATATCCACCACCACACCGAAAAAAAAGGCTGATTTTGTCGGAGGTGACCTTCAGCATACCTTCAGCTGCCATGTCACCGGCTGCCACCGTCCAATAAGCAGGCGCGTGCAAACAAATAGGCTGCGTCCGCTGCCGCGTTGTTGATTCCCAGGAGACATTTCCTGGTCAACAAAGCGACGAAAACTCTCCGGGAATTAAGATAGCTAGATGGAAAATGGTCCATGTATGGATGATTTACCTACTTATATACCTAGCTATGGTGACGTCCATAGCTATGTTATAGAACCAGTGGTGAATGTCAACCTCAGATGAATAAACCTTCACCATTAATTGCGGCGACCCCTAAAATAGTGATCAATTAGCCTTAAAATTGGTATAGCCGGCTACTATTAGCTGGGGGATTATTGATCCTGGATTAGCGTTGTTCGCAGGCCTATATCGCTCAACGCCCCTCAAATCCTTAAATTATCTTGAACAATGTGTTTAAAACCACAATAAACCATCCCCCAAATCACCACAAATAGGTGGTATAAACAATTCCCAGTTATGGGCGGTTTATTATTGTTTTACCCACATTATTGATATTGTCTATGTGGTGGATATGTTGGGTCAATTTGGGATGATCATTCCAAATAGTCAGAGTCAAACAGCTTTGATTTTCGTGGGGGGACTTGTAAGTGGCTCATTATTTTAAACACTATGATTTTCCATGAAAACAATTATTTATGCCTTCCAGTAATCACACATGACAATGGAAAATTCATGAAATTTCCTCTTAATTATACTTAGATACTTAGTTTTCACATTTACCATCTGGTTATTTAACATGGCCATTGGAAATCCCCAACATAAATGGAGGTTTGTAGCTGGGAAAATCATCTATTTCTATGGGCCATCGAAAAACCATGGCGAACTGTTAGTCATAACCTGAGGGCAAATAAATTATAATAACCTGAGGGTAAATATATTAAAACGCCATTTTGAGTTATTTCCCAGTCATCTTTGATAGTCGGCTAGTCGGGTCCAAGTCGGGTCCATGGCTACTGGTACTCAGGTCGTGGGATCCACAGGCTGAAACTTGGGGTGAAACTGGCCCAAATTGGCTGCCCACATTGGAGAGCGTATGTGAACGTCTATGAAAGTTGGCTGGAGAAAATCAAAACCAACTTTCAAACCAAAACCATCTTCCAAACAAATGGAAATCACAAATCATTTGAAGCTACCAGCCGACCTGGACAACATCACCCAGGCTCTGATTAGCCAAGATTCATGTAGTGATGTCGCGCGTACTCACGATCGGTGATCTTCTTGCAATCCTTACGCCAACTCAAATTGACGACGCCTAAAATTGTTTACTTCAACTGGGCCGTCTGGGACCGTATTGACTCTGCAATCATCAAGGCAGCAAAAATCTGGAAAGCAAAGAAATAGTAATTTACTAATTTTGTGTGCAATGAGTTTACGGTCATTTTTTCTTGGACATCCCTTTATCAAAAACAAACGATATGTGAAAAAAGTCCGTGATTTCCAAACGTTACCCCTTTAGGTCCCAACAATGGCATCGAGGATTCAAAACATGGCATCGGGTCGAGTTCTGCAGGATGATTTTGCCAAGGTATCATACTGACCCAACCCTCATAGGATTGGTTTAAGGGAAAATTTACAGGACCCTCCCATATTTGATGGTAAAAACCATGGTTTCCGCTTAAGATTTTCCCAAGAAAACCAATCCAATGAATCCCCCCAAAGTCTCGTTTTTCCAGTTTTGCTCTATGCCCAAAAATTGGAAAAGTGCCCTTGCCAGCAGTTTTCCTCCTGTCTGACTCCATAGTACTATGTTCTGCCCTTAAAAGCGCAGAAAAAAGGCAACAGGAGGATGATACTTGTATATCCCCTTATTCTCCCATTCTATCCGCATAGAATGGTAGCTCATGAATATTCAGAAAATAAATAGTTATGTTATGTACACACATATATATATATTGTAATAATATGGAATAGTTCCCCTTACTCACCATGATTCCAGTGAGCTCACAGTGAGGTCATTATAATTTACCCATATATATATTTACTTATCTATTTATTTATCTATACTTCATACGCACATATATATATATATATATATACACTAAATATATATATATATACAAATTATAGTATACCCCATTCATGAAAAATCCGATTATGCCACAGTCATGCATTACTCCCAAGAATCTGTGATGCTGTGATATTCAGCCTTGCCTGTAATATAGGGGTTAGCACGCATCTCCGGAAGCATCTCCTTAGCGTTTTGCAAAACTGGGAGCCGCAGATTTGCCCAAAAGCCACCCCAAAGAAAGAAATGCAGTGCATGTTGATTTAATCTTGACTCTACTGTTTATTCTATGTTTGATTCTACTGTTGATTCCAATGGTAATTCCAATGTTGATTCTTATGTTGATTCCAATGTTGTTTCTACTGTTGGTTCCGATGTTGTTTCGATTGCTGATTCCGATGTTCATTCAAACAATTGGATCCCAATGTTGATTCAAATGTTTTTTCATTTCGAATCTAACGTTGATGTCATTTGTTTTCAAACATTGATTCCCATGTTGAGTGAAGATATCTGCAAAGCAGACCACGGACCACTCAGTACAGACGCTATAAAAAACAATCTGAAAAAAGGGAAAAATGGAGTTGAACACTGCCACCTAGTTGAATATGTTGAATGAATCTGACCCTATAGTTCACATCCGAGAAAAAAAACGTCTTAGTTTAGATGCTCACTTGAACACAGTTTGCGGTGACTCCTGCGACGTCCCAAACCCAGTCCCAGTGCCTTACTAATGTGCAAACATCCATCATCTGGGTGCACAAAAAAAATATCAATTCACTCACCGGAAATACAGTAAGACCATAGGCTAATATAGGCTATCTATATATATATATATATGTATACATCTATCTATCCATCCATCCAATCCATGTAATATATATATATATATATGTTATATATATAAAACTGGCATAATATTTCCCCTTACTATTATCGCACTAAAACTCCAGGACGTCTCGGTCGTTCGCTGCTGAGCCTCCCATCCAGCTGAGCAGTGCGACATCGCCATGATGGGCAAATTCATGTCCTGTGCGGAGATCGAGAGAACTGTTGGAATCCGACAGTTAATAGTTAATAACTATGGTTAATGGGATCAAAGTTTAACTATGGTTATTAACTATGGTAAATAACTATGGTTAATAGTTGAAATTATTTAAGTCCAATAGTTCATGGGATCAAATAGTCATTAATAACTATGGTTAATGGAATCAAAGTTTAACTATGGTTATTAACTATGGTAAATAACTATGGTTAATAGTTGAAATTATTTAAGTCCAATAGTTCATGGGATCAAATAGTCGTTAATAACCATGGTTAATGGGATCAAAGTTTAACTATGGTTATTAACTATGGTAAATAACTATGGTTAATAGTTGAAATTATTTAAGTCCAATAGTTCATGGGATCAAATAGTCGTTAATAACTATGGTTAATGGGATCAAAGTTTAACTATGGCTATTAACTATGGTAAATAACTATGGTTAATAGTTGAAATTATTTAAGTCCAATAATTCATGGGATCAAATAGTCGTTAATAACTATGGTTAATGGGATCAAAGTTTAACTATGGTTATTAACTATGGTAAATAACTATGGTTAATAGTTGGAATTATTTAAGTCCAATAGTTCTTGGGATCAAATAGTCGTTAATAACTATGGTTAATGGGATCAAAGTTTAACTATGGTTATTAACTATGGTAAATAACTATGGTTAATAGTTGAAATTATTTAAGTCCAATAGTTCATGGGATCAAATAGTCGTTAATAACTATGGTTAATGGGATCAAAGTTTAACTATGGTTATTAACTATGGTAAATAACTATGGTTAATAGTTGAAATTATTTAAGTCCAATAGTTCATGGGATCAAATAGTCGTTAATAACTATGGTTAATGGGATCAAAGTTTAACTATGGTTATTAACTATGGTAAATAACTATGGTTAATAGTTGAAATTATTTAAGTCCAATAGTTCATGGGATCAAATAGTCATTAATAACTATGGTTAATGGAATCAAAGTTTAACTATGGTTATTAACTATGGTAAATAACTATGGTTAATAGTTGAAATTATTTAAGTCCAATAGTTCATGGGATCAAATAGTCGTTAATAACCATGGTTAATGGGATCAAAGTTTAACTATGGTTATTAACTATGGTAAATAACTATGGTTAATAGTTGAAATTATTTAAGTCCAATAGTTCATGGGATCAAATAGTCGTTAATAACTATGGTTAATGGGATCAAAGTTTAACTATGGCTATTAACTATGGTAAATAACTATGGTTAATAGTTGAAATTATTTAAGTCCAATAATTTCATGGGATCAAATAGTCGTTAATACCTATGGTTAAATGGGATTCAAAGTTTTTAACTAACATGGTTCATTACCTATGTAAATAACTATGTTAATATTGGGAATTATTTAAGTCCAATAGTTCTGGGATCAAATCGTCGTTATAACTATGGTTAATGGGATACAGTTAACTATGGTTATTAACTATGTTCACTAACTATGGTAATAGTTGAAATTATTTAAGTCCAATAAGTTTCATGGGATCAATGTCTTTAATAACTATGGTTAATGGGATCAAAGTTTAACTATGGTTATTAACTATGGTAAATAACTATGGTTAATAGTTGAAATTATTTAAGTCCAATAGTTCATGGGATCAAATAGTCGTTAATAACTATGGTTAATGGGATTCTAAATATGGTAAATGGTCAATAGTTTTGATCGAGACATTTAAGGCCAATAGTTAATAACTATAGTTTATAGGTGATATATCTATAGTTTTCATGGGGTTATAACCCATTTATAACTGGGGGGTGTCTACACTTGACATTTAACATCATTTAATTAAAAGTGGTACCCTCTGGTAAACTAACATAACTGTGGAAAATCAACATTTTCAATGGGTAAATCCACTATAAATGGCCGTTTTCAATAGCTATGTTAAATTACCAGAGGGTACATACATTTTGTTTATCAATTTTTAGATAATCCATGATAAACCGATCCTTTGGGGATTGTTTATATAATTGTTTATACCACCCGCAAAGTTGGCGATTCTGGGGGCAATTTATGGTCTTGGCTTTGAATCATTAGTTCCATTGCCATGGAAAGGCGGATCGATCTTGGAATCTTAGATGAGACAAAATCAAAGTTGCAGCGGGTATACATATCCGAACAAATTTATATGTACACATACATAACTGTGCAATTATATATGTATATGAATGTGTATATTCATAATCTCAGTCATTATTCAGAAACTACTTAGCCAATCCAATTGGTTATCCAATTCACAGCGGTACCGCGAAAACCGAGGTGCTAAGATATCGGCAAGCACCAGCTCGTCGTTGGTGAATTGATGGATCTTTTGCACTTCCTGCGGCGGAACTTTGCGATTTGCTATTCACATCAACGGCCACGGTACCTAAATTGGAGGTACCTACCATATATAAGGCCTATGTAAGAGCTATGTAACGTATGTAACGGAATATACACCCAAAATATGGCCTTATATGGTACAGTACCTCCATTTTAGGATCCTGGAATTCCCACTGATCACAGTGTATTGCGGATGTGTCCAAAAGAATTGGGGAGATCGGGTTCATGTGGTAAACCCAATGCAATAAACCTACCATGTGGGAATGATATGGGATGATATTTACCATCCATCTACGGCCATTTTTTTGGGATAGGTTATTTATGATTGGGTTTACCACATTACGCCCTGAAATGTTCTACTTGGCACTTTCATAGGATGATTCAAACCAGAGCTTTTGTTGTGGCACCATTTTGTTTGGACAAGCACATGCTGGATACGATTGGAGGTGGATCCAGTGAGTGAAGTCAATCTAGGAATCTCAGCTGTGTTTCCTCGAGACGATTCACAGCTTCTTACCGTCCACACGATGCAAAGTATGGAAGAACTATGGGGCACCTTCTAAACCTCCAAAGTAAAATTCGAGGAGTCAAGTTTGAGCCGAGGACATGGTACCTGGGTACCTATACCCCTGGTCCTCACATTTGGCTCGGGCGAGTTCGTTCCACACCGCAGGATCTTTCAGTTGTTCGACCTGAGTTCGATGGTGAGCCCTGAGGATAGGGAAGGACTTTTAGGAAGTGCCGCCCAGCTAATAATTGGCTGGAAAACTGTTGACTACCGTAATAAGAAAGACCATACGACATGTATAAACTAACCCTGGCCGGCCAGTTTTTGGGGCCCAATGGTCCAATAAATTTGATCCATAATATCTGTACCGAAAAAGGCCGGGGTTGAAAAACCAACGCCGCTCCGAAAATGCCACTCGCAGCTGGGACTGGCGAGTCGTGCAATTTCATACAGCACCACGGGAATATTTGCACACCAAAAATCAGCAACACTAACCCATAGGATCCATGTATGCCATATATGGTAACATTTACCATCAATATACCCCAAATGTTAGCATATATACCATACATGGATCCTATGGGTAATGATTCATAGGAAGGTTTATGGTTGTACCATGCAGTTCAAACAACACTTAAATGATTTAAACAACATATTATAACGTGGGATACATCGGATACACCCAATGCCAGAAACCATCCCCCAAGTCACCATTTGAGTGGTATAAACATTCCCAAGTTTCGTCGATTTCTAGCATTGCCCGGGACTCCAACTGGTTCACCCCGCGAATCCCCGAGGGGCTGTTCGTCCCTGCCCTTGCAGAACTCCCAGGGAATAGCCATAGAGGTCATCGTAGACATAATTTTCCTCAGGGGATGACGGGGATGACGGAAAAAAATCAGGATGAACCATGAGAAAAGTTTGGTAATGGGGCACCAATTTAATGTGATTTAATGATGGTTAATGATGATTAATGATGGTTAATAATGACTGGTTGTTGGTTTCAACCCTACCCCTCTGAAAAACATGAGTTCGTCAGTTGGGATGATGATTATATACTCCCAATCTATGGAAAAATGAAAAATGTTCCAAACCACCAACCAGGATATGTCATGATCTATGACTTGTTACATGTACAGTACCCCAAAATCTAAAATGCTATAAATCGGAGGAGAAGAGCACCTGAAGAGTTGGGCCATGCTGGGAGAGTTTCCCCCTCCATACCTTCATTCCAGTGACGTCGCGACGTGAGGTCGTAATAGTTTATCCAAATACCCTCTGGTAATTTAACGTAGCTATTGAAAATGGCCATTTATAGTGGATTTTCCCATTAAAAATTGTGATTTTCCATGGCTATGTTAGTTTACCAGAGGGTATATATCCCGCTACATATCCAGATATGCATATAGATCCAGATATATATATATATATCTCTCTCCCCATCTTATTATACCATCATTTTTGTTGACTAAATCATCATTGTCCTCAACCACATTGGGAGCCAAATTTTGCCGAGGTCGCTCAAGTCATGGCGTAACAGTGTAACAGAAGCTTGGGCACCCTCATACCGATTTGTAGACTCCCGTGACCTACACCCAAAGGCCATTTCTTGCCTGAACCAACAAATACCTGGAGAATCATTCCACTTCAAAACTCAAAACTATCTAAATCTATGTAGTTGCCCCTGGCAAAGAAGGCCTAGCTATCCCTGGGTTTCTCCCATGTATAACATTGTATAACTGGGTTAATCAAAAAAAAACCTTTACTAAGCAATCTACCAAGTGGGGTGATCCTTGAGAGGTAATCACCACAGGCTGCAACATCTGGGGCAGAAGACTCGTTGACTTTTCCATATCCCCGTGGATTTCCTGTAACCAACTTTTTGACCTAAAACTATTGATTTCTCCATCTTTATTTATATTAGTTCATCTATCTGGGTAAAATCCGTGGTTTCCCCGTTGATGTTGAAAACTCCATCATCACCAGGTATCTGAATCCATGTGGCTGGTGAAGGCCTGACCGGCGGACAAGGGTCTCTCAGTTCAGTTAACGCTCACTTTACGTTTGGCATTTTACGTGATTTTCTATGATGTGCTTCTGAAACTCTTTAGTAGCACTGCTTCCCCATTTGATTTCGGGATTATGTGCTTCCCCACAGCTCCGAAACGCCCCATCAGATACAGTTTGGGATTCATTTCTTTTCAATCTACGACATGCATTTTGGTAACAAACGCTTGTGGATGGCTATATTACGATGAGTTCAACAAATGTACTTTGATTTTACGTGTGTATATATATATATATATATTTATTCAATGGATTGAAATGGACTGAGTCGAGGGAAACCAACAGGAAACCAATCATTGTCTTTAGTCTTTATACTTGCTAAAATGCTGGTGTCCTGTGAAAATTCCCTGAGCCAATTCTCGGAATGAACTCAACGCAAATTCCCAAAGCGAGTTGCAGGAGCCTACAACTTGCCTTTTTTTGGGCACATGAGCCAACTATAATTGTCCAAACCGAAAGGATCCCTCAAACATCTTGTTGGTGGTTTCAACGCCCCTGAACTTAATGAGTCATGTCCCATAGGATCCATGTATGGCATATATGGTAACATTTACCATCAATATATCCCAAATGTTAGCATATATACCATACATGGATCCTATGGGTGTGGGCGGTGTGGGACTATCATCTCAAAATTCCGGCGAACAAGAAACCACGCACCAGCTACAGTGATAGGCTTCCCCTTTTCAGGAGATAAAAAAAGAAACTCAAGCTGCTCAATCTTTGGGTCCTTACGTTATTCTGCACCATATCTTCCGAGCAGAGCAGCTTGCCCAACCAACTGCTCGTTGTTGGGCGAACCTTGATGAACGTTGAACCCTGGAGCCCCAAGTTGCCAAATGGCATGAAGCTTTGTAAATCCATCAGAACTCATATTTATACTTGTTGGTGGTTTTAACCAACTCGTGAAAAATATGAAAGTCAATGGGAAGGATTATCCCACATATTATGGAGAATAAACATGTTTGAAACCACCAACCAGTATGTTCATCCAAAAAAGTGCTAGCTAAAGGTATGGATCCATAGCCGTAAGAGCCTGAACACAGGACATCCAAATATATGACCATGCTAAGGAAAAATGATGGATATTTTTCTTGCAAAAATCAAGCGCTCTGCCTTGCCATCATGGTGAAATGTCACCACAGGTCCAGTGTTGAGCCCTTTGTAGGTCGGGGTTCGCAGGCCAATGACCCTCAGCCGACTGGCGACCGGGAACGGGAAACCCATCGAAAAATCTTGGTAATCCCCTAACCATCCGTTTTTTTTAATAATGTTAATTAATCATGTTTCCTATGAAATGGCTATAGTTGGGGCAGAAACACCTATAATATATATATATATATGGGAAGAGGTGAAACAGTCAAATGGATTGATTTACATTGGTTCCCTCCCGCAAGAGGGAATCAAAGTGAATCAGGAGAAGACAGAAATATGCAGGGAGTCTCTGCAATTTTTTTCCCCTAAACAAATGCTGGGAAGTGGAGATCACCTTAAGGAAAGCCAATGGTGCCTCAAAGGTACCTCTTTAAACGAATGAGGCCTTTTGTTTTTGGGGGTTGGCCCCCATCAACCCTTCTAAATGGAGCTTCTTAAGAGAGTATTAAGCCAAGAAATGTGCGGGGAGTGCCTAGTGGAGCTTATTCAGGAGCTTCAGCCACAACTTGGCCCTTCCTTATCCACCTTCATGATCTTTATGAACAGGACATATTGCATGAGACTTTGTCAGTTTAAGGAGACCGCAGGTACCGCAGGGTACCGTACCTAATCCTTTGAGGCTTGTAGCCATGATCAATCCCTAGTGGTTTTCCATGGTTTTCCGCTTAATCCCTCGTTTCCAGCACACCCAGGACCCAGGACGCATCCCAGAGGCCCTCTGAAAGCAGAGTTGATGAAGTGTCTTGGATCATTGGATGGCCTTGGTCGCTGGCTGGCTTAACTGACCAAAAATCATTGGATTTCATGGTGATGAAAGGTTAATGAATGGTGGTTTATGGTGATGGGAGGTGATTAATGGTGATGGAAGGTGATTCCATTAAGTCAAGGTGATTTATGGTGATGGGAGGCGATTAATGGTGATTAGTGATGATGATTGACCCTCCAGTATCATTGAGAAATCCCCAAACTATATGGACGTTTAATGGGAAGATCATCGATCTCGATGGGGATTCTATCCTGAGGGATATGGAACTCTTGTGAGCCCCTGATCTACTACATTAGAACCGCGAGAATCACCCATGTCAGGGGAAGGTAGTCTTTCAATCCCCAAGCGTTAGCTTAGGGGATGGTGCCTTTTATATGGGGGTAACCCCGAAATTGACCTAAATTGGATGGTTTATTTAGTTTATTTCATGCACAATCCTATAAAAATGGATGATTTAGAGCTACTTCCAGTTGAAAACCTCTAAACATATTGGATTCCTATTGCCAGGCCGGAGTTCCGGTGATACCCCCGATGCGTCACGGGGTACATCATCAAGCAATGCCGCCAAGCGTCGGCGAGTATCTGATATACGATGCAACCTCACCTCACTTACACCAAGTGTAACATACTCTGTGGCAATTTCACTTTCCCGTTCATCCGTCGTCCGTTCATTTTTGTGATTTCCCATTGCTATGTATGATTGGAAGGATCACGGAGGCCCCAACCTACAAAAACACCTGCACAAAAAACAAAACAAACCGATATCAATTGAAGTATGACATCGGAGTGCCAATTCCAAGCGCCATCCCTTTCACGCCCAAAAAAAATGGTCCCAAATATTCCAGCAAGAAACTGGGAACTGGTGAGTTTTGACCCCATCCCGAAGGGGGCCAACTGGGCTCAACCACCACTCATACCTTTAACTACCCATCATATCAAATCCAATTTAAGCCGAAATCTGAAGTCTTGTTCTTGAAATCATATAAATCATCCAACAAAAAAGGATGGAAGGTAAAACACATGTGAGCCAGCCAACCCATAGCAAAACGCACAGGCAGTGGTGTAGGGTCTATCCCCAACTTCGCAGTCCGCAACAAAAATACTTGGGCCATGTACTCATTGGTGGTTTCAACCCATACTCCAACCAAGGCACCGGTGAAATTGGTTCATCCAAAACTAGGGTTGAACAACGCTGATCATTAAACAAACATTTAAAGCCAACGTGTTTTGGCAGATTTTTCTCAAGGAATGTCCTTGGTTTCTTCCAGGATTTCCAACACCCAAATGAACAGTGTTCAAAACCCTGGGTCGTCCCATTCCCCTTGCTGCGCACGGTCTCGGCCCCATCATACTGGTTAGTTGATAGGGAATCCCCTGATGGATTAATATGTTTCCATTGTATTGGTTGTGTTGATTTGTAGTAGAATCAGTATATTGCCCTGTATAATCATCAGCCAACTGGGGGTTTGATCACTGCTCAAATGGGGTACCCCCAAACCATCGTTTATAATGGGATTTTCCATAATAACTACTGTATCCATTTTTGGGTATCCATTTGGTACCCCCATGGCTTATAGGTAACCTCCAAGCTCGTTGCTGCCAGCATCACTGAAGTAGCAGAATCCATCCATCCCTGGATGTTCCGCCATAACGTCTGGAATCCTTCGGGAGCATTCGTCACCATGGCTGTGGTACCTGGGGGTGCAAATCTCTGCGCATGCAGTGAAGAAATGATGGTTTTATTATAGCCACCACCAGTCACCCATATATTTTTCCAGGACATGCCCAAAACAACATACAGTATGCGTGTTGGGCGTTTGGAACTAAATGTTACATCCCATGTTACATCCCCAGCAACGGCCGGCCCCATTTTTTGGGCGTCAACCTGCCCAGTTAGTGAAGTTACAAGGTTTAGTTTAGCATAGTTTAGCCATAGATTTCATGGGCAAGAGGTATAAGTTTCGTGGGAAATGTCGGAAATGTCAAGTCGATTTTAGCCGATTGGATCATTCGATCATCGTACAAAAAAAACTTTATAGTCATGACTAACAACATTGTGATATTTTTAACATAATTGCAAAATGGTTGGGTAACCATTGGATAATCATCGTTATTATCCATCATGATAATCATAAAAATCCCCAAGTTATTCCCCAAATTAATCGGATCAATAACAGCATAACGTTGGATTATCATAACGCGTTGACTTGGTTGTTGATTGGATTATAACACCAACATTTTTGTCCCGCGTTAGCCTTGAGGCCTTGGGGATGGTCACCCTGCTGATGAGCCTTATCAACCCAATGTCTGGATCATGTGCATGTTTTAACCATAAACTAGCGCCCCAAGAATCCCAATTATGTAGGTTTATAAACATTCAACTATATAATATATAACTAGGACACCAATCCCGATTTTAGTTGACGTACGCATATTTTCCAGCATTGAAACTCACGGCTGATCTGACTGAAGCCCTGCATATGCCATGCCAAGCTGCTTGCAGTTGTTGTTGTAGAATTTTGCAGCGTCACCCACTGAACCATTGATCAAATGTCCACACTCCGTCGCCTCCGTCCTTCGGCTCATTGGGTGGGCACGTCAACTGCAGAAGTCGTGAAAACAAAAGCCAAAGGATCACCAAGGATAATAGTGATTAATAGTAAAAAAAATAGAAATTAATAGTACCAGTAGTACCACACAAGGCGGTGCCGGAAGTTTCAGAATAGGAAACCTATAGGAGAGTTTGGTTGTTGTGAAACACGGATGGCAGAGTGAATCCACTGATGGACTGAAAAGTTGGTTGGAATTGTATTTTTTGGAGTGGTTGCAATGGTTGCAGTGGTCACCTGGTCGGTCACATCGCCCACAACTGCTGGATGTAGTCTGGTGTAGCGCAGCTGTAGTTGTAGTTGTAGGGTCGTGGCGTTGTAGTTGTGGTGTAGTGTAATTAGTGTAGTGTAGTTGCAGTTGCATTTGTGGTGATGTAATGAGTGTAATGTAATTTAATGTAGTGTAGTGTAGTCCAGTGTAGTGTAGTGTAAAGTAGCGTAGTTGTAGTTGTAGCCGTAATTATAGTTAGTGTAGTGTAGTGTGGTGCGGTGTGGTGTAGTGTAGTGTACAGTAAAGTAATTAGTATAGCGTAGTGTAATGTAATTAGTGTAGTGAAGCGCAGTGAAACGTAGCGTAGTGTTATGTAGTGTAGTTGTAGTTGTAAATTGTCTGTAGGTTGTAGCTGTAGTTGTAGTTGTTAGCGTAGTGCAGTGTAGTGTAATTGTGTAGTGTAGTGTAGTGGATGGAGTGTAGTGGATGGAGTGTAGTGGATGGAGTGTAGTGGATGGAGTGTAGTGGATGGAGTTGTAGTGGAGTGTAGCGTAGTGGAGTGTAATGCAATTAGTGTAGTGTAGCGAGGTGTAATATTGTGTAGTTGTAGTTGTAGTTGCAGTTGTAGCTATCGTTGTAGTTAGTGTAGCGTAGTGTAGTGTAAAGTAGAGTAGTGTTGTGTAGTTTAGTGTAATGTAATTAATGTAGTGTAGAGTGGTGTAATGTATTGTATTTGTAGTTACGTTGTAGTTGCAGCTGCAGTTGTAGTTGTAGCTGTAGTCGTAGCTAGCGTAGCTTAGTGTAGTGTAGTGTACTGTAGAGTAATATAATTAGCGTAGTGTAGTGTAACGTACTTGTAATTTTAGTTGTAGTTGTAGTTGTAGCGTAGTGGAGTGTAGTGTATAGTGGTGGTTGTAGTTGAAACTGCTACAAAATCCTTGCGTTTTGCTCACTTTTGACAAGGTGCTGCGCCTGCCACGCAAAACGACACCTGAACGTCCAAAAGTGCTCCGTACCCTTCAGTTTTTTCACTTTTGACTTGGAAACGTGCTTCGCGCCACAACGGCGTGCACTTTTTCGACATCTCAGCTTCCAAAAGTGGTCCGAGAATGGTGTGCTTTGTGCATTTTGACCTGGAAATGTGCTTCGCGCCACAAAGGCGGGCACTTTTTCGACACCTCAACTTCCAAAAGTGGTCCGAGCATTGTGTGCTTTGTACATTTTGACTTGGACATGTGCTTCGTGCCACAACGGCGTGCAACTTTTCATCTCTCATCTGGCCAGATGGCTCCGCACCCGCCGCTTTAGCGAGCCTACTTTTCGACCCTCCGGAGCCACAAATCAATAGACAAAAAATCGTGTTTCGCGACTTTCCTACCTTTTCGCGCACCTGGATCTTCTTTCTTCTGAGACTTTCTCTTCTTTGATATTCTTTCTTCTTCTCTTCCCTTCTCTTCTCTGACTCTTCCCATCTTTGCTTTTCATCTGTCCGTATTGTCGGAAGTTTGACTTCTAAACTTCCTTCGACAATATATGGTGAGTAATGGTGATTGATGGAGTAATTCGCACAATGAACCAACAACTATAATAGTGATTCATGGAATATGTCGGTCCAAAAGCAAACAGAAACATTCACAAGAGTCATGTCTGTCTTGTCTCCTGAGCTCCAAGACGTGCTGCTTCTGCAGGAATGACATGGAGAAGTCTTGGTCACAAGTGCTCTCTGCCTTCTCCGCTGGGGCTGAGGATGTTACGGGTGGCACAATGGCAACAACAAACGTGAATCTTGGGAAGTTGTATGATCCCCACGCTATGGACCTGAAATGTACTACAACAACAACAACAACAACTTGACAACTTGACAACAGCAACAGCAACAACAACAACAGCAACAGCAACAACAACGACACCAACAGCAACAGCAACAGCAACAGCAACAGCAACAACAACGACACCAACAGCAACAGCAACAGCAACAACAACAACAACAGCAAAAACAACCGCAACAGCAACAGCGACAACAACAACAGCAACAGCAACAGCAACAGCAACAACAACAACAGCAACAGCAACAGCAACAACAGCAACAACAACAACAGCAACAGCAACAGCAACAACAACAACAACAGCAAAAGCAACAGCAACAGCAACAGCAACAACAACAACAACAACGACAACAGCAACAGCAACAGCAACAGCAACAACAGCAACAGCAACAGCAACAACAACAACAGCAACACCAACAGCAACAGCAACAGCAACAGCAACAGCAACAACAACAACAACAACAACAGCAACAGCAACAGCAACAGCAACAACAGCAACAGCAACAACAGCAACAGCAACAGCAACAGCAACAACAACAAGAACAACAGCAACAAGAACAACAACAACAACAACAACATGTTTATTTTTCAGTGGGTTTTACCGGTATAAGATTCCAAAAGTTATTTCATTGTAATTGCCCAACTAACATCGACCCTGCAATTATGTGGGTTAGACAACCGCTTTCCTCTTCGGATGGCGCAACAAAATCGGCGGTTTAAGCGCCACAAAAACGATGGATCATAGATTAGGGGTAGAATGAGATATTGCCAGCTGAGAAAACTATGAGAACATGTGAGAGCAAAGTAAGGAATCGAGTGGTGTCACATTTCATTTCCCGTAAAAAAAAGGCTGTGTTGCGGGGCTTGAGTCATTCCAGGGCAGATGGACATAATAAACTAAGAAGCAACCATGTAAAAACGTCAGAAAGCAGGTGGATGAAAACATTCCTGCTGCAAGCACCTATCATCGAACAGTGACTTCACCATACTTCACCCACCTTGGCAACCACGACCAACATTTTCCGCAAAGTATTGCCCTGTAATTTGCTAAGTCGAGTTATAACCAGGTTGACTTTGGTTAACTAGAATATGATAGAATATGAATTTAATGAATATGATGCATCATGATGGACATATAGCTGCTTGGTTTGTTGGTTTTAAAAACCCCTCTGTATCTCATTCTGCGCCATGGCGCAGAATCTGCAGCCTGCACGGTGACCAAGAAGGGCAGCCACTTCATAGCTCGGAACATTGCAGGGTTCAACCGACACAGAAGTCGTCGAGTGGGTTTTCTCGGGTCGAACCAAAGAGCTGCCGCGTCGGGCATCGCTGGGTTGCCAACAACAGTCAACAAAATCTCGTTTCATTAAACACACATTTTAAGTAATCAACATTAGTAAATATACTGATACTATCATATACATTCTAACTACTCATTGTTGCTTCATCAGACTGTCTTTGCCACGTTCGGAACTTGGAAAGCTGGGAGGGTATCTTTCAACCCGGCGCCTTGACAAAGCTAAGATCACAATGGAAAGTCCTCATATATCATGAGCAAGTCATCTAGAAGTGTGGTGTTATTTTCTCGCCACCTTTGCTGGAGGATGGTTCGACACTGTGAAGCGAATCGGGTCCCTTTTCAGATTTCCCAACGGGAAGCCTCAAACGTGCTGCCATATCTAGTAGAAAAACAACATTTTTTTGTGGTGCTCGGACAAACTGAAGGAATAGTCTTAAAAAAGCATTGGCAAAAAGTAAAACAGTCAATCAAATCAACTATTCATTGGTGGTTGGTCTCAACCAAACAGAAACGAGAAAAATGAACAAGTGGAGATCGTCACCCTACTCTCTGGTAAACTAACATAGCTATGGAACAAAAACATCTGTTCATAGGCATAGGTATATCAGCTATCAATGGGCCATGTTCTAATTGACCCCATTAACTATAGTTATATCTGCCATAAACCATAGTTAAGCCACTTTTAAAGCAACTTAGCTATCTTCAAGGAAAAAAAACGTGATGAACTTACCAGTCATCAAACCAGTCATCTTTGGGTGACATTTTAGGTGCCACGAATCTTGTTCTCCTTATGGTCGCGTGTTACAAGTCTTGCGAGGTGGTCAAATTACCCATTTTTGACTATCCAAAACATCCAACATACAAAAATCCAACCAAAATGCCCACATTTCTGGCAGATCAAACCACATTTCTGCTGCAATGCAGAAAGTCCCGATTTTTTTTTGGTCAACACCTGCTTTTTCAAGTCCCAGGGCCATCCAAAGCTTCCACAAATAGCTTTGACGGAAACCATAGGGCACCCCATACGATCCAATGCGCCAAATTAACATGGAACCCCTGGTAATCTAACATAGCTGTGGAAAACGACCATGTTCAGCAAGTACTGTATATACATCAACTACACATGGTGCCACTTTTCATAGGAACGGGGCCTGGCCACTTTGGCTCCTCTGGCTGCGATTGCTGCGATTGCTGCGAGCACTACGCGGCCGGGAGGAAGTACTGAGCTCCTAGCAACCGGACCATGGATCTACAAGAAACAGGGTTGCTCCCAACATCCCAAATACTAGGGTGGTACATTGGCTAAATAAAGAGGTCAAATAACAATTTGACCATAATTCATCTAGAATAGATTGGGGCAACCCTGAGAAACATGTTGGCTTTTGCCAAAAGTAGGAAGGGTCGCATGTAGCTAAGAATTTGGGAAAATATGGGAGGATGCTGGAAGCTGCTGAAATTATATATATATAACATACAATTGGATTGACAAATATCACGGGCTTTTGTTTGAAGCAACTACCTAAATAATAATAAAGGGATCTAGGCACATTTCTACCCTTTGGTAAACTAACGTAGCCATGGAAAACCACAATTTAAATATATAGGTAAATATAGGTATATAACAAAAAAGATAACCTATAAACCGGCCATGTTCATCCATTTTCCATAGCTATGTTAGTTTACTGAAAGGAATATAGATTTCACAAACTTGAAAGAGCAAATTTTGAGGCCAGGACAGATTCATCAAAATGGCGAGGTCATAGATTGACTGGCTTGAAAGGGACTTGACCGCCTCGATTTCAGAACCACACCTCCTCGTTTCTCGTGGGAGATTACTGGGATAATTGGAGGATCATCCCACGGTCATCGTAACTGACAAACATTGATAAACGTAACCCAGAGTTGTAACATCTTATAAATTATTTCTGGGATAGCGCAATCGGGGACTTACCATCACCACGGTTACCAAAAAAACAATTACTAAGTGAAACGATCCAAGCCCCCGCTACAATGTCAATGTCTGAACCATTTCAACATCCCTGGACCTGGGGTCACCAGGCTTGAGCCCCCACAAACTTGGCGTGTTGGCTACGTCCCCAGGTTGCTTGTGTATCCCAGGTTCTTTTTGTACCTCTCGCGGTGTCCCTACTTTTCAACGAGATATCTTTGCATCGTTTGCTCCGTCTGTTGAAAGCACAAGCGAATGCTGAAATCTATTTCTGCCTATTTATAATATATTAGTTGGGGAAATTTTTGTTGCCTACCTTCCCCTCGAAAACATCTGTGATCAACGCCCCCGAACATCTGTGACCCATTTCCCAGGGATCGGGGGCTGTATTTTATTTTGGGATAACTGACCAGCAGAATTTCACCGATCCCAAAGATGGTTGATCTAATTGGTGGTATACCATGGTATACCTACCCCCCTGAAAAATATGAGTTCGTCAGATTGGATCATCATCCCAACTATTGGGGAGGTCATAACAGCCATGTTCCAATTTGGTCCAAAGCACCAGTGATTGATGGTCGTCTCATGGCTGAACACCTGTAACAATCCAACCATTGTCAGGGTGGTTAACTCTCCATCCAAAAAAAATGTGAAAAAAAACGCAATCTCGGACTCTGACTTGTCATGGCCAATCGCATGGGTACCCTGTATCTGTTGAGCTGCGAGGGGTGGGTATCCCAAAAAAGCAAAACATGAGTTGCATTAAAGTACACAAATCCAGTCATTTCACCTGGCACTTTGATGGATTTGATGAGTTGGAAACCCCACCCATTTCTTGATGAGATTAACTACCCACCCAGTGAATTTGAGTGGATGAAAAGGGATTCTCATGATAATCCCCATAGAGATCATAAAGATTCAAAGGTACATTCTTGCTAAAAGAATGTGAAAAATGACCGGTAAATATGAATGTTGTTCTATCTTTTGGGGGGTCGCCCGGTCGCAAGCCGGTCGCAAGCCGGTCGCAGCTGGGCAAATCCCCATGATGGCCCCCCACTCTGGTAATGAAAGATGGCCATTGGACATCCACTATACCTGGAGCTTACACACTATCGATGGTGGGGATTTTCCAGCACGCCACGTTTGATATGTTTGATGACACCGGAGGGTATGACGCTATGACACCCGAAGGACTCATCAACCAAGGGCTGAAAACAGCGAAAACAGCCACTGCTTCTTGCTGAGTTGTTCCTCCATCTCTGACTGCTGGGACTTGGCACCTTGGCAAAGTTGGCGCCACGGGGTATTCTACAAACATCAAGATAATTATATTGGGCTAAAATCAAACTATAGATTGGGTTAGTTTAAATTGAGATTAGACAATTCAGAAAAGATAGAATATTAGAAGAAATAGGTGAATAGATAGATAATAAGAAAGAACACTAGTGTGGCCCCCCAGTTCTAAGATGGTTTATAAACCCCATTACCTATAGTTATTTGCGTATCATAAACCATAGTTATTGGAATTATTTGCACCAACTGAACGCTATTGTAAACGGGGGGCCCACATTGTACTTATCTCACAACGATGACATCTGTCCTTTCCAGATCACATCGGGACCCAGACCATTGGAAGTGGCCCGCCTGCCAGGCGAATCAGCCCAGGCACGATCAATCAGAAATATTCATTTAAATACTATATATATATATATCTCTATCTATCTAATGGGGTTTACTATTACAGTATTTCTAGTACTACGGAATAGGGCATCAACCAGGGAATAGGGCATCCATTTGGCCATGGAATACCATCTGGTTATTTAACATAGCCATGGTATAGATGGCCCATAGAAATAGATGATTTTCCCAGCTAATTTAAAAATACTAGTCCAAGATTTAGAACTATGAATTCTTAACCTAACAAAAACCATCCAATAGTTGAAACCATGAATTGAATGTCGAGCTGCTTGAAGTCACTTCTGATTGGGATTTGAACATCTGACAAAGGATATGCTTGTCCGGTTTGTCTCGGTTGTCCACCGCCAGGTTTGTTTAATACGTCCACATGTTCATTTCTCCGTCCAGTAACCAAAATCACCCTCCATTCAATAGACCACACGCGCGTGTGTCTATATATTTATATATATACATATTTCTATCTATTCTGAAAAGACAAATCTAAAGTAGACCTCATGTAGATATAGAATATAGATATAGATATACATACACACATATATATATAATTATATATATATTACATAGACGCCGCAAAGATATTAAATCACCAAAATATGTAAATGCAAATACAAAGAATAGTCGGAAAACACGCCAGCACTTAGCTCGACACCATCTGCAGCTAGGCTCCTTTGTCAACCCCGAAACGGGCACCCGCAGTGCACCTTGGCGATAGACCCGAACCTGACGGGATGAACTGCCGGGCGCTTCGGGGCGGGAACTTCGGGGCGTCTGAGCTGTGGGATGCCTCGATGAATCATTCACCAGCTGAAACGACGCCACAGGATGAAGCATGAGAAAAGTTTGGTAATGGGGCACCAATTTAATGGTGTTTAATGGTGATTTAATAATGGTTAATGATGATTAATGATTGTGAATAATGACTGGATGGTGGTTTTTCGCCAACCCCTCTGAAAAATCATGGGGTTAGTCCGTCAGTTGGGATGATGACATTCCCAATATGATGGGAAAGTCACAAAATTCCATGGTTCCAAACCACCAACCAGCCATATAGTTTGAGGATGCTTCGGATGCTGACCATGGTGGCCTTGATGCACACTAGTTGGCTTTAGATTGTACATTCACTTAATATGGACAAGGAACACATGTGGAACATCTAGCCTGTTCTTTGAGTACCTCCATGATTAGCATTAAAAACATACGTTTTCGTGGTAAAATACCCGGGGAGAAACACAATCATAGTATGGATCAAACCATCAAAAGACATACTGTGGATGGTTAAGAAATCCTGCACCACCAAAAGGATGGTTGAAACCCGAAATGATGGGAGAAACGATCATCTACCAAGTGGTGCAGGATTTCGCAACCATCCACAGTATTACAA